ACAATACGGTAAATGCCCTCGACTATCAACAGAATAAAGTCATTCCCTCTTTTGGGATGAATGTGACAATGGCCTGAGTGATTGTGATTCCGCTTGAGACGAATGCGTGGTATCAATTTTAGCGATTTTTCTACAAATCTTATGTATGAATGGGAATTAATGGTGCTCATTCTTAAAACTCACGTGGATGAAACTGATCATGGAGCAACATTGACGAATAGTTCACCTGGCGAAGATAATCGCCAACAATAAAACATTATGCGATGGAGGGCTTCATCTGTTGCCTATTCTTTCTGATTGTTCACCCGCTCCAACAACGGATTTGTCAATTTCATCTTGATGGCGATCTGTTACCAAGTCTTGATCTATTAGTTACGACCTTAATTCAATTCTGACCATATTCAATATCCCCTGCTTCATTTCACAAGAAAACTTTCAAACGATGCTTAGAAATGATTTATGTCATTCACTTTGGCTTTTCTAGACATATTATTCCGAAGTTGCAAAATCCACGTTTTTAAGAATCGATTACGTTATATTGAACTTAGGATTATACCTTGCTATGATTATTGTCAAACAATGAAATATTGCTGGGAACATTTGGAATTTGAAACCGTCTAGATTAATTAAAATCGCGCAGCAAAATATTTTTTTTGCTAAAATATGTAGAACGAGATTATGAAACAATTTATGAACAACTGTAATCTGTACTTCAAGAAACGCGTAAAGAATGGATACTAAGACGCACGAATGACTGTTAACTGCGTAATTGCTAGTCTGACTGCTCAAGTTTTCGCAAGCCCGTCGACTATCATCGACTTTTTTTGCAGTTCAATTTGGAAAAGTTACAAAGAAGTTAGTTAATTACTTTCCAGAATTATCAGTGAATTAGGCACTTTGCCGCCGTCTCGAATGAGCCTCCGCATTTTAGCATGCAAAGTCATTAAATAGCCTTTATAGAGCCAGCCCTATTGAAAGATAACATTATTGCAAGTTAAATATTAACCACTACCAAACCAAACGCGTCAATGAAAGTTCACAAGAGAGATCAATAGTCGGAAATGTTCACGAGATCGATTAATTTTA